GGGGGGGGGGGGGATCTACAGAAAGTTCTTAGGCGCTATTAAATAAGCGCAGAGCGCATTTGGTACTGTAATCACCGAACATCATTTGGCTTTTTTTTTTTAAATGTGCTTAACCAATCGCAATTCATCACAAAATTAAATCTAGAGGAAATGAATTCAAGGGAAACTCATTTATGGCTGAAATAAATATAGATTGTCATAATGCCTCCGGCATATGCAAAGTTTACCAATTCAAAACAAACTCTCTTAATAAACCGGGGAGAGTCATTGAAGTGGGGAAAGCCTGCTATGTTTTAAAAAGTTATTTTACTACTTATGGGAACATTTCGAATTGAATATATGAAAGTGTAGTCTCAGAGGCGTAGCGTGGTGGGGGCAGGGGGACAGATGTCCCCGGGCGCCAGCTAGTTAGGGGCGCCAAAATGTGCTTTGATATTATTTTATTGATGAAAATAATGGGTTTGAGAGTTGAAAAAGGGGCGCTAAAAATGGATCTTGTCCCCGGGCGCGAATCGTGTCCCTGGGCGCCAAACACCCTCGCTACGCCACGGTGTAGTCTTTTCACCAACTTCCTGCGCACGACAATCAATACAATTTCTCTCTTTACCATGGAGTTAGCTTCCTGACTGTGTCCCATTTTTTATTTGTTGCAGGACCACGCCTTTTGGAGTTTGCTCACTGATAGCCGCGGCATTTCTGCAAACTGCAGACCTCCACAGCGCAGTGAAGTCCCTTGGCATGTTCTCCCTTACAGTACTTATCTCCCTGGCCATCCATCAGTTCATAATATTGCCTGCTGTTTATTTCCTGCTGGTTCGGGAGAATCCGTACACGTTTCTCTTGACCCTAGGGCGCCCATGGTTGGTGACTTTTGCAGCAGCCAGTTCGTAAGTCGGTTAAAAATGTCATCATAATCGTAACAATAGTCGAAGGTTCATTTTTGGTCAGTGTCAGTGGTAAATATACGTCATGAGTGGTACGGCCAAGGGCAATGATTCATTTTGTTAATTTATTAACGGAATTCATAGTTGTTTTCCTTTGATATTTATCCAAATTTTATGATATTTTATTTTTATAACGCAATTATAAATTAATTTACCAGAAGACAAAATCAAACTATCGTTTACAAACTTTGTACAATATGTGGGATGGTGTTTGTACCAGCACCAATCTGAAGATGAAGCTGTCTAAGCGAGGTCGGTAAAACAATCCATTATCGTGTAACTTGCACAGAGCAGTCGCCATCCCAGAAACCCTCACCACCCTGGAGGACAGGAACAAGATTGACAAGAGAGTGACCAGATTTGTGGTACCATTTGCCACGACCATCAACAGAGACGGCAGCTGCATCTTCGTTACGGTGTCCTGCGTGTTCATCGCCCAGTTGGTCGGGGCAGATTTACATGCTGGCAGAATTGTCCTCATGTGGTAAGTCGTTAGAACTGTGGTTGGGGGGGGGGCGCTCTTCTCACTTTTGTTGCGCATAGATCATACAGTCAGTGCCCTCTTAACAGAATTGTCCTTATGTGGTAAGCCGTTTGAACTGTAGGGCGGGGGGAGAAGGGAGGGCTTTTCTCACTTTTGCTGCGCATAGATCATACAGTCTGTGCCCTCTTAACAGAATTTTCCTTATGTGGTAAGCCGTTTGAACTGTAGGGCGGGGGGGGGAGGCTCTTTTCACTTTAGATGTAGATAGATCATACTCTCAGGGCCCTTTTAACAGAATTGAGGGTCCCTGTGCAAAGTACTACATTGAGACCCCACTGATCCCCTCTAAGCTTTTCAAGTAATCATGTGAAAAGTTTTTGTGGGCCCAGCTCTGACTCCCCCCCCCACCCCACCCCTGCGCCATACATAATCATTAATTCATTTTGGGTATGGCGGATTTTTTGTGGTTATTTAAAACTGTTACCTAATCATTATTTAAAAATAAATTGTTTAGCAATTGGAATACCCGTACTTAGAAAATATATTTACAAAAGGCTTCATATATTTATTAATTGATGATTTATCTGAGTAGACTAGGCCTACAGCAGTAGACATTTCCCAAATGTTCTGTAAATTGAAAGATTTATTTTTAATTTCAAAGTACTATAACTTTCTTCAAATTTAAATAAAGTATTTCTTATGAATAAATGGAACATATGTCAAAAAAAAATTTAAAATATTTGATTTAATTTATCACATTTAAAACTTGTACCAAAAAATTGAATAGATTTGAAAAATGAAAAAGGTGTATATAAAAATTTGGAACACCTGCTTCCCACTGCACTTGTAAATCAATTAAATTGACTAAAGGTGTTTTAAATATCCATTAACAATATGAGCAACCCAATTCCCATAGAAACACGAGGTCCCAATCCAATTTTGTCAAATGTTCTAGGGCATCTAGTAGTATGTTATGACGCGTGAGGCATTGAAAAAAAAGTGCCTCTCTTAACAGACAGCCTCCTTCCCCCCCCCTCTCCCTATTCACATCGTTTTATCTGGATAATTCTATTGATGTGTAAATAGTTAAATTGAAAAAAGGAAAAAAAGATTATATTTCTTGATAAAGATCCATTGTGGACTTCTGCCATGCGGAAATATTCAAATCAAGAACAAATGAGGCAGAAAGTAGAATTATAGACTTTAGCGTCCGAGGTTGTTTTTTTTTTAAAATATAGTATTTTCTTGAACAATTCTTATCATGAAGTGTTAATATCACATGAGGATGTTGTGAGTCTTCTGATATACCATATACAGTTTGAATTGGTTTTTTTTTTTTTTGGCTGATTTAAAAATAAATTCTAAAGAAAACTCAGTGCTTGTCCCCGCCCGTTGTTATTCCCTCAAGAATAACAGTGATAACCTTTT